AACTATGAATAATTCTTCCTCATAGGGCCCCTTACCAAAGAGTCCTCTCATCATTTCAGAGGCAGATGGCATCTCTAACACCTACTTAATTGCTCAGGCCAAAAACCCAGGAGTCATCCTTAATTCCTCTCATTATCTCACCCTCACCTCACCATCCTGCTGGTTCTACCTCCAAAACACATCCCCAATCCGTCCTCTTTTACCACCTCCCTTACCACCAACCTAGAAGGCCACTATCTTCTCTTGCCTAACCTCCTAACTAGCCTCCTGGCTGCCACTCCTATGCCCTCTAAAATTCATTGGCCACAGAGGTGAGAGTGAATATTTTAAAAAACAAAAATAGATCATGTCACTCCCCTTTTCCAGAACCTCCAACGATTCCCACAGCTTTTAAGACAAAATCCCAATTCCTTACTCTAGCAGACAAGGCCCTGTATGATCTGAGATGCTCCCCACTGCTCCCATCCCCTACATCCATCACCTCCTGTCTCTGCCTTTGACTCACCTGTCCCAGCCATTCTAAGCCTTCTTGAAGTTTCTAGAACTTACCAAGCTTGTTCTCACCTCACAGCCTTTACCCTTGTTCTTCTTTCTAACACATCTTCAAATGGCCGGCCCCTCCCTGGGAGCAAATCTCAGCAAAAATATCACTACCCTAGCAAGGCCGTTTTTTTTTTCTTTTTTTTTTTTGAGACTGAGTCTTACTCTGTCACCCAGGCTGGAGTGCAATGGCATGATCTCGGCTCAGTGCAGCCTCCGCTTCCTGGGTTCAAGCGATTTTCATGCCTTAGCCTCCTGAGTAGCTGGGACTACAGGCAGATGCCACCAGGCCCAGCTAAGTTTTGTATTTTTAGTAGAGACAGGATTTCACCCCAGCACTTATTCCTTATCCAAATTCCCTTGTTCATTTATTGGTGTGTTTTTCTGTTTGCTGCCAGTAGACTATAAGCTGCATGAGAGCAAGGGACTCATGTACCTTTCTACCATGATATCTCCAGGCTAAAACAGAACTGACACATCCTAGGTGCTCAGGAGATGCCGGATAAATAAAATCTGGGGAGGATGGTGGCAAGTGCACTTGAAGCCCGAAGACTGAACTCACTCGCATCATGGCTTCTTGGCTTCTCTTCAGATTTCTCAACTATAAAATTGAGATCCTAATTTGCACCTCATCTTCCTTGAAGGGACACAGAGAAGATTAAATGAGTAAAAGAATGTGTAAGCAAGCGTAAGCATTTTTGTAAACCATTAGGCACCATATTGTTATTGTCAAGTATTGTTACTCTCTGTTACATAAGAGGAGACTCTTTCTCAGGGACTTGTAAATTAATGGATGAAAAGGCTTAGGAAGCAATCTGAGGTTTCTAATCCAGGCACCTAACAGAAGTCTCGGGACACAACAAAAGAGATTAGAATCAGTGGCTTTACTCTGCAGCCAGGCAAACATAAGATAAGATATGAATTCATTTAAAGAAGTCAAATCATGTCAAATGCAGTAAGTTGCAAAGCGAGCTCTGAGTTCCTTGAAGGAGATCAATGTGGGACTGATCTCCACATCCTTCATGTGCCTAGCACAAGGGGATTTAGCAAATATTTACTGAATTGGGTGTTGGGCTACCAAACCTGACATCCTACCAACAGCTTTCACCTTTCTTTGCAACCCACTGTGGCAAAGGGTTACAGGTTCCTGGGGCAACCGTATAAAAATATCAACATTTATATAATGCCATGATGGCTACCGTTTCCTGCTTGCAATGATGTTATGGTTGACAGACCTGGTATTATCATATGCTTTAATTTATTCATTTGCCAAGCATAAATGGAAAATACAGTACAAGCACCACATTAGTCCAAATAACAATAGCTAATGTTTACCAAATATGCTGGCCACTTTACATATATTGGGTTCAAATAAATCCTCAGAACAGCTATACATAATATGTACTATTATTATGCTCTTTTTTTTTTAGATGGAGTCTCGCTCTGTCACCAAGCTGGAGTGCAGTGATGCAATCTCAGCTCTCTATAACTGCTGCCTCCCAGGCTCAAGCGATTCTCCTGCCTCAGCCTCCTGAGTAGCTGGGACTACAGGTGCCCACTACCATGCCCGGCTAATTTTTTTTATTTTTTAGTAGAGACAGGGTTTCACCGTGTTGGCCAGGATAGGCTCGATCTCTTGACCTCATGATCTGCTCTCCTCGGTCTCCCAAAGTGCTGGGATTACAGGCGTGAGCCACCACACCCAGCCTACTATCCCCATTTTACAGATGAGGAAACTACACCACCAAGGTGTTCACAATTAACTATGAATAATTCTTCCTCACAGGGCTCCTTACCAAAGAGTCCTCTCATCATTTCAGAGGCACTGAGCATCATTTCAGAGGTAAAGTAGCACCTCTTTGCTCAGTAGCATACAGCTTGGAAGTGGTAGAGCCAAGATTTTAGTCCAAGTAGTCTGATTGCAGGCTTTTAACCACAACTGCCTAACACCACTGAAAGGGCCTTCAGTATAATCTAGCCTAGTCCCCTCATTTTAAAGNAAGTGGTAGAGCCAAGATTTTAGTCCAAGTAGTCTGATTGCAGGCTTTTAACCACAACTGCCTAACACCACTGAAAGGGCCTTCAGTATAATCTAACAGAGAAGCCCACTTTTAAAGATTCCAGCTCTCAGTCCGGGCACAGTGGCTCACGCTTGTAAACCCAGCACTTTGGAAGGCCAAGGCAGGCAGATCACCTGAGATTGGGAATTCGAGGTCAGCCTGACCAACATGGAGAAACCTTGTCTCTACTAAAAATATAAAATTAGCCAGAAGTGGCGTGCCTGTAATCCCAGCTACTCGGGAGGCTGAGGCAGGAGAATAGCTTGAAGCCGAGAGGCAGAGATTACGGTGAGCTGAGATCACTCCATTGCACTCCAGCCTGGAAAACAAGAGCAAAACTCCATCTCAAAAAAAAAAAAAAAAAAAAAAAAAAAAAAAAAAACCCAACTAAAAAAAAAAAAAAAAAAAAAAAAAAAAGATTCCAGCCCTTTTCTGAGGTCCTTACTTTGTACAGTATCTATTTAAATGAAGCGTTACATGAGATTTCTTTCCTTGCCTTTTGAAGAAAAGCTTCTAGCCAGTTAAAAGTAACAAAAGAATAATCATGGCCTTATAATAGCAACTGTTGCAAAATCAAACACAACAGTGAATGGAGGATAAAATACAGCATTTACCTAGAAACATGTCCACTTTAATCACTTAGTAGATGCAAGATTCTTAGGCAATGGCCCGATGTAGTGGCACAAGCCTGTAATCCCAGCACTTTAGGAGGCGGCGGCGGGTGTATCACTTGAGGCCAGGAGTTTGAGACCAGCTTGGCCAACATGGCAAAAGCCTGTCTACTAAAACTACAAAAATTAGTGATCGAGGTAGTGAACATCTGTAGTCCCAGCTACACTGGAGGCTGGGGCAGGAGAATTGCTTGAACCTAAGAGGCGGAGGTTGCAGTGAGCTGGGATTGAGCCACTACACTCCACCTGGGCAACAGACTGAGACTCAGTCTCAAAAGAAAAAAAAAAATTCTTAGGCAGGTCCTTTCCTTTACTTTTCTGAACCTGTTTCCTCTTTGGCAAAATGAGGATGACATCACCAGCTACCCGGCAAAGTCTACATAAAGAGTAAATGAAATAATATACCTGGTAAAGTGCTTCTTAATCATATGCTTATAAAATAGTTATTACTGCTTTAAGCACTTCCCAAAGGACATAAAGATGTCTCTTTTCTTCTGGAAGAGTCAATGAAGCCCAAGTAGAAAATGAGAACATGGGCCAGGCCCGGTGGCTCACGCCTGTAATTCCAGCACTTTGGGAGGCTGAGCCAAGCAGATCATGAGGTCAAGAGATCAAGACCATCCTGGCCAATATGGTGAAACCCCATCTATACTAAAAATACAAAAATTAGCTGGGTGTGGGAGGCTGAAGCAGGAGAATCGCTTGAAACCAGGAGTCAGCGGCTGTTGCGGTGAGCCGAAATCTCTCCACTGCACTCCATCCTGGCAACAGAGTGAGATTCCGTCTCAAAAGAAAATAAAGAAAATGAGATCATGACCCCAACTATTTCCAAGGGCTTGACCTCAAAGAGTTTCCCAGGGCTACTTGTAGAAGTCCACTACTTCCCTTGCTCTGAGCAGAATGGAGAAGTAAAACTGGGATTGGAAGTTGGCATTGCAGTCGGACTACCCATATGAGCTGGCATCCTACACACCTACACCTAACCTGTCCCAAAGTCATTTCCTCCTGTGAGTCTTGCCCTCCTACCCTTAGACACCTCATGATAGCTGGTTGAGCACTTACTATTTTGCCAAGCTACTTGACATACTCAGTCTCATTGGATGTCCACAGTAGTCTATAATCCCATTTCACAGATAAGACAAAGAAGACTCAGAGAAATTAACTTGTCCAGGGTCACACACTTACTAAGTGAAAATACCACATCTCTAGTAACTCACTCAGTCTTCAAACTGGCTGCTTGGTCTCCCATGCTAGGGTTCCCTGAGAGTGCTCCATCTCCCCATTTAGGGCACTTTCACATACACGTCTCATCACCTTAACCACTCTGAGAAGCAAGGTTAGGACCCCACTGGACAAACAGGTCAACTAAGGCCAGAGAGGAGAAAAGACTTGCCCAAGGTCACACAGCAAGCCCGGGACAGCAACGAGGTTCGGACCCCAGGCTTTCGCTTCCCCGCCCTCCTCCCAAACTGGTTCCCTGATCACAGTCCCAAGGTCCCCAGGTGGGCTGCGGCTCAGGGTGGTCCTGTCTGGGGGTCGGGCCGCGATCCCGCCCGGGGGAGAAGGGGGGAGGCCGTCCGGACGACCAGAGGATGCCCGGGAGGCAGGGCAGAGGATGCTCGGGCTCGCAGGACAGCAAAGCCAGGCGGCGGCGCGGGCCCGCCGGGAAAATCCCAGGCAGCCACACGGATAGGCACTGCTCGGCGGACGCCCGGCACCTCCGACTCACCTGCGGCCCGGGCCAAAAGCGGGCGGCGGCGGCGGCGGCGGCGGCGGCGGCGGCGGCGGGGGCGGCGAACCCCTGGCTCAGCCATTCCCCGCTGCCCCGGATGGGGAGAGACAGTGGCCGCTCACTTCCTTAGCAACCTGGCTCAGCGACCCACTTCCTTAGCAACCAGTGTCAATTTCAATAACTTTATTGGGACACGAGCAGCGGACAGGGAAAGCCGGGTGCGAGGGGCCGGGCGGGGCTCTGCTCGGTGCTGGCGCTTAGCGGGGGCTCAACACACCTCGGCCTCCTCACCCACCTAAGCGGGGAGAGTGTCGCACAACGTGACCTGCCTCAGTTTCTCATCTGTAAAATGGAACACACGCGATTTCAGCCGCCGTTCAACCTTTCCTAAAAGCGTTCACATCCCTTATCTGACTGGTGTCTCAAACTGCTACAGAGATAGTTCCCATTTAGAGTGCCCCCAGTGACTCAATCCAAACACCTGTAGGCATCCTTGTTGTTTCTTTCCTGTCCCTTACCCAATCCAGTCAGTCACGACCGCACCAGGCAAGGCCAGGCCACGCTCATCTCTAGCCTGCCTGAAATATCTGGTCTCTCTTCCATTCTTTTGTCCAGCTGTGGCTGGACAAGCCATTTTCCATAAGGTGGCCAGAGTAATTATTTACAGCAGATCATAAGCCAGGTGCAGTGGCTCACGCCTGTAATCCCAGCACTTTGGGAGGCCGAGGCAGGTGATTCACCTGAGGTCAGGAGTTCGAGACCAGCCTGGCCAACATGGTGAAACCCCGTCTCTACTAAAAATATAAAATTCAGTCGGGCGTGGGGGTGTGCACTTGTAATCCCAGCTACTCAGGAGGCTGAGGCAGGAGAATCACTTGAATCCGGGAGGCGGAAGTTGCAGTGAGCAGAGATGGCACCACTGGACTCCAGCCAGGGCAACAAGAGTGAAACTCCATCTCAAAAATAAAAATTAAATAAATAAATAAAACAGATCATGCCACTCCCTGGTTAATATTCGATTAAATGGAGTCCCATTGCTCTTAGAATCAAATCTAAAGTCCTTATTACTTCCTGCAAAAAATGTTAAAATTCTGTTCCAGCCACACTGGCCTAGAAGGGCAGGTTCCAACTCCCATGGAAAGTTCCAGCTTACACCTGCTGTTCCCCACTAAACAGAAACTCCATAAGAGCAGCCTTTTATTTATTCACGCTTGTATCCCCATACCTGGAACCAAGCAGAGTCAACAGTAGGTGGTCAATAAATATGTGTTGCTCCTTGAATGAATGAATACCTGAGATGCTCTTCCTCACCTGCTCACCCCTACTTTTTGCCTGTTGTGTCAGATATTGCTATTTCCTCTCGAAAACTTATTTCTTCTTGCTCCTGGACACACACAGCTAGACCATATTTCCCAGCCTTCCTTACAGTTCAGACCAAGTTCTGGCCAATTAAATGTGATGTGTGCCATTCTCAGGCCTGGCCCATTAAAACTCCTGCATAATTTGATTTACAATTTCTCTAAAGTGAAGAAGTGTATTTTTATTTTTAAATAAAATAATAAAGGAAATACCAAAAGAGACTGCACCCAGCCTCTTTTGGTGTTTCCCAAGGCTAACTGCCTCATTTCCCTCCTCCCCATTTTCATTAGCTTTCTTTGCAGCTATTAATTTTTTCCTATGTGGTTAATAAATTAGACAAACAACCAGCAAAGTGATTTTTCCAGATGTGTAATATAACAAATAATTTGGCTGGGTGTGGTGGATCATGCCTGTAATCCCGGCACTTTGGGAAGCAGAGGCCAGCAGATCACCTGAGGTCAGGAGTTCAAGACCAACCTGGCCAACATGGAGAAACCATGTCTCTACCAAAAATACAAAAATTAGCCAGGCGTGGTGGTGGGTGCCTGTAATCCCCACTACTTGGGAGGCTGAGGCAGGAGAATTTCTTGAACTCAGGAGGTGGAGGTTGCAGTGAGCCGAGATTACCCCATTGCACTCCAGCCTGGGTAACAAGAGCAAAACTCCATCTCACAAAATCAACAACAACAACTTAAAAAAAAAAAGTTCACGAATTCTCACTTACGTTTTTCTCCTGAAGTCTTCAGCTCTGATCTGCAGCAGTACTCTTCAGGCCTACTGCACAGCTGTCATACTGAACTTTTCTACATCCTACTCCTGATTGGGATTCCCTGTGCCCTGGACCTTGTGTCTCAAACTTCTGAATTGTGGATTTACTCTGTCATCCCTGTGCAGCACATCTTTCTGTAGATTCCTGAGAAAGTTTGCAAAGAAGCAAATATATTTAGTCCTTGTATGTGTAAATATGTCTTTATACTGTTTTCACACTTGATTAATAGTTTAGTAAGGTATAGAAATGTAGGCTGAACGCTGGGCATGGTGGCTCATCCCTGTAATCCCAGCACTTTGGGAGGCTGAGGCCGGCAGATCACCTGAGTTCGGGAGTTTGAGACCAGCCTGACCAACATGGAGAAACCCTGTCTCTACTAAAAATACAAAATTAGCCAGGTGTGGTGGCACATGCCTGTAATGCCAGCTACTCAGGAGGCTGAGGCAGGAGAATCACTTGAGCCTGGGAGGCGGAGGTTGCGGTGAGCTGAGATCACGCCATTGCACTTCAGCCTGGGCAACAAGAGCAAAACTCCATCTCAAAAAAACAAGAAAAAAGAAAGAAATCTAGGCTGAAAATTATTTTCTCTCAGAATTTTTAAAGCATTGCATTATTGTTTCTAGTATCCAGATTTAAGACATCTAATGCCATTCTTAATCCTATTGCTTTGTATGTGTCTTTTT